CCCAAGGGGAGAGCCCTTCCCTGCAGCACGCTGCTCCAGGCGGGACGAGCTCAAAATGGCTCCGCCGGGACTCCACTGATACCCGAGCCAAACCTGAGCTGTGGTCGGTACCAGCCCCTATTGGCCTAAGACCCCAACTGCTGTAAAGCCCTGAGAACAAGGGCACAGGAAAGGTTCAACAGCCAGGGAGCCACATTTTCATCGGGCGGGTGCACCTGCCACATGCACGAAGAACTTGCAGCATCCAGTGTGCAACATCTCAGGGTCAGTTAAGTTTTCCTAAAGGTAAAACATCCTTTCTGTTTCAGGATTAAGGAAATGGCTTAAAGGAACAGGCCCTTGTCTTTTGTTTCCTCATGAGTGAGGCATGATGAATGGGCACAAAATGAAATACAGGAAATTCAACTTAAATATAAGAAAAAAATTCTTTTACTCTGAGGGCTCTCAAACACTGGAACAGGTTACCCAGAAAGGTTGTGGAGTATCCATCCTTGGAGATGCTTTTGAGCAACATGGTCTACTTTAATGTGCTGTGAGCAAGGGGTGTGGACTAATCAGTCTCCAGAATTCCTTTCTAGTATCGGTTCTGTCATTCTGTGAATAAGGATTTAGCACAAAGTAAAAATGTAACTACCATTTATTTTCCTCCACAGGTCTCCTGTCAGAAGAAACTGTTCTTCAGAGGCATGTGATGTCTATTGGAGGACAGGCCCTTGGAGGCCATGCAGTGTGGAGTGTGGGAGTGGATTTCAGTCGAGACGAGTGTACTGTGTACACAGAAAGAATAACAAGCCTGTGGCTGATCAGTATTGCGGATGGAGGAAAAGACCAGTGACCTGGCAACACTGCAATGTCACATCCTGTGGCAGTATGTAAATGTTTATTTATATACGAGCATAATAATAGTTTGTAGCAGTTATATTAGAAAGTGACTCACAGTTGTACACTAATGATTCTGCAAGCATTTGATTGTACATCAAAGGTAAAACTATCCTCTCCAAGGAGCACTTCATAATCCTGGGGTTATTTTTCTCTGAGTAGGCCAGTTTGATATTAAAGCCTCAAAAGCACTTTTAGAAACAGGATATTTGGGAAGCTGTTTTATGCAAACTTCCCTACATGACTGTGCCAGTTGTTACTCATAAGTCTCTGAGCAAGCAGTTAATTCCTGAGCGATGGGGTATTTTTCTGAAACAAACAGTAGGTAAATGAATGCAGTGAGATCACACCTCTTATTTGTGACCTAGTTTAGCTTTAAATCTGCTGTTGCCAGAAATGCAAAGTAAAATAATTAAAAACCTACCAGGAATTCATCAGTTGTTTACAATTACAATGATAAGTTCTACTATTTATCTTTTGTCCATTATAAAGCCTTTTAATGTTTAAATATATTTTTCAGAAGGCGAATGCAAGGATACAACTCACTACTGTACATTTGTAAAGCAACTAAAGTTATGCTTGATAGACACCTACAAACAAAGATGTTGTCAATCATGTCAAGAACTGTAACTCTTCTATGGAAAGTTCATGATGCTGCAGTGAAGAGATGAGAAGAGAGGTTCATTAAACTAGCCTGCTCAAAGTATATACTTGTAAATAAGACATTAGTCATAGCAGTTAAATGGAAACATGGGGCTAATGAAAAAACAGTATTGCAGATTGATATGCTGGACAGGGTATTTTTTCTGGGAACTTTTATTATCCACTCTTAGCAATGGAACTTTTAATGTTTTAAGCATTTTCGTGTCTGTATTAGGAAGATAATATCATGGCATATCATCTGTAAAATTTTATGGGCCATCACATTATAATTTTATTAGGGGAAAAACCGTTATCTAAAATCACCAGGTAGTGCTTACTGTCCTTAACTTATGAGAAAAACAAAGTCACAAAATCCTTTGAAGAATTTGGGAATGCAGCAATTATTGACCCCTAGGTTTTGTTTTTATTGTTTTATCAAATTTAACACCTTTTTTAAATTTAGAGGAGCTGTGGCTTGTAGCTGTAAAACTTTTGGCAGGAATTTCATTTTCATAAACAGCTTGAGCTTAAAGGTCAGTCTCACAGGATACGTTTTACTGATACTAGCTGTTGGATGGATACACAGAAGTACATTCAGTTTTTCGTGCTTGTATTTATGTGTATGCAGTAAAAGATATTATAGATGCTAGTACAATTTTCAAAACAGCAAGATCTGTTTTGAGTAAATGAGGTGTCATTTTCCATTGTTTCTATTCTTCTGCTCCAGTCACTGAAGTACAATCGAAGTTCTGGCATGATTAGACTTTTCTACTGATTTTAAACTCGACACAAGGCTTCTTTGTCAGAGCTGTCAATGAAACATTTGTACGCACTCTTCTCTTTCACATCAAGTCAAATGGGGAGCCAATAATTGGCCAAACATGGCTGTCAGATTTTCTACCTTGAATAAATTATTTTCTTCCCCCCTGTTAATGGGGAAAAATGTCCAAGGAAGAATTATCAATTATGAAGATAGACAAGTGCAAGAAGTCTATTTTGAGCAGTTTTCAATCAAGATGACTTTTCATCATGACCATTAACCATTTGAGTCTTTTGCAAGTTGATAAATTCTGATTATGATATTCCTGGGTAAATTGTTTTCCATATTGCAGTTGTATATAGGGCTGTAAGCAGAGAGAATCCCACAGGAAGCAGCAGATAAATGTGGGGTTTTTTTGTAGTTTCCAAACTACTGCACATATTGGAGGCCTGAATGCTTGTACTGACTTGGATCTCGTGTTACATTACTGAACTACGTTACATGCTAGTTAGCGGGTATGCTGTAAGAACAGTTTTAGAAACAGCATTCCTGCACAATGGGTTTGCATCACTGAAAATTAGATTAGCACTACTGTATATAAAATGTTTAATGTGGACTATTATGTCCAAGGCTGACTGCAAGGAGAGGATATTCCTGATCATTACCTTTTTTTATCAGCAATGGGTCTTGATTGTTTAAGCAGTTTTTTAAATTAAAATAAAACATTTGTAAGATACTTTTGTAGATATTTATTGTCTGATTTGAAAGTGCAATATTTTGTTTTGTACAGTGTTTAATAAAGATTTTTGGACATATATTTTTTTCTTATTACCAAAATTTCTTATTCATGTTTTTCCTTTATATTTAAAGTTTTCAAATGTTAACGCATAGCATCTTTAGTTGCTTTGTCTTTGGTTAAGTATGCATGCTATACAGAAGCAGTGCTGTAAATGTTTGTTATTGCAACTGGCATGACATTCCTCTGTAGACTATTTTATTGCTTCTCCAGTAACTGAAGATTTTAGCCTTCTTGAACGTAGTTTTGATATTTCTGAAATAAAGTCTACTTTGATTATTCAACACTGTGATTACCCAGAGATTGTTTATTACTGTGATTTTCATGGTAGCTATGCTTTCATTACAAGTTTTATTTTATCAACCTCCTGTGTCTATAAATCTGGGATTTTTCCAAAGCTAAGTTTAATTCTTATTTCTGACAGCTTCTGAGATAGATTCTCAGCTTCTTTACAGTCTGCTTTGCACTGCTATTAAGAGGCAACATAGATGTAACCTGACTGAAAAAGTGGGGAAGACAATTTGCCAAAATCCAAATAAGTCAGCTCTGACTCACTGAAATCTAGAATCAGGATTCTCTAAAAAGGTGGAATAAAGTTACATTCCTTTGCCAGGCTTTCATGTACTCTGCATCAAGAAGAGTTCATTTAGATCCAATAGAACTCTATGTTTTATATTTAGTGGGTGATGGGAATAGCTGCGTGAAAAAAGAACTTGTTTCAAAATATCTAGTAAGTGTAATAGTCTTTAGAAAGAAGAGTCTCATAAATAATATGAACATGAAAAGCCTTTAAAAATTTAATTAAACGGAAGATATCTAACAATGAAATGGTGGTGTTTGAGTTATCCTAGATGGTAACATTGGCAAAGGTACATGGGTCTAATTTTACTTCTGTGTAACCAATACATTCTTTCTGTGCAATATTAAAAGAAAAAAAATACTCTGTACAGCAGTTCTGTGGATCATGCTGTATAGCATAGTGCACAAAAAGCACTTTCAAAATAGCAATTGAATCTATGAGTAACTTTTCCACTTCTACATCTTGGTTTAGCATGACATCATAAAATGCCTTTTTAACAGCTGTTAGTTTGAGAAATATTAGTTTTCCAGCCTGCTGTTCATTTTGTATGCATGTCAATAATAAGTTGCTTATGAAAAAGTTGACCTCAAGTACTGAATACTGTCTGAACGTTTATCGTATCATTTGATGCTTTTCCTGGAAGCACAATCAGTAGGGTGTGGCTCTTTCAACTGTAGTAATAAAGGCTTCTCTATTTCATTATTAATCTTAGGGGAAAACATCCAGGGCAAAATGAAGGGGAATACACCCCCTCCACCCTAAAAAAGTCTTCAAACACATCTGCAGAGGAACTGTTAAATGTATCTGAATATGCCCTCCACTTCCTCTCAAAACTTTTTGTACTGTGCTGGTAGGTGGAAGAGAATGACTTTCCATAACTTAAGAGGGGAGAAGTGACTGAAGAACTAAAAAAACAGCTGTGAAAATTACAAAAAGCATCTGGGCTCGCTCACAGACCCAGAGGAGCCATTTTCAGCAGAACACGCAGGCACACATAACTGCAAGGATACAGACTGCATTTCTCAACGGGTTTTCTTCCTCCCTAGAAAAGAGCTGGAGGATATTAGGAGCTTCTGTAAACTGAGGGACCAAGCCTGTGTATAGGATATGGACTTGGGTAGGTATAACTATATGAAGTTTTGACTTTGTTTCCTCAGTTGTTGCCAGAGAATGACTCAAGATTCAGGAAGAAAATGGTGTTTGCAGTTTGTTCCCTTCTGTGGTACAGAAAGTTGACAATGAATTGGACTATTTCCTGTCCTGTTTTTAGGATATCACAACTTTACATTGCCCTTGTTCATTCCCAATCCAAACATATCTTCACCAGCTGGGGACGTGAATAATCTTCAGAGACAAAAGTTTAATTGGATTGTTGTTTCATTAACAGAGTAAGTCATAGCACAAAAACACAGTACAAAGACAAAAATTACCTTAAAGTAACCGGTGCTCTAATAATGTCTGGTGCTTTCTCATGCAATGCTTTTATGCACAGCTGACATACTCCGTTCAGCTTTCTTCCTTGCATATGATCTGGTTCCTGTTTTCAACATGTTTCTGTCACTGATCTTAGTCCTTTTGTTGGTGATTTGGTTTATGACGTATGAGCATGTAATTATTCAGAACCCAAATGACTGCCCTATACCAATGCGGATAAGATATGCAATACTGAAAAAAATCATACTGGAGTACTGTGCTACATTGTAATACGGTCAATCATAGAACTATTTATTAGGACTCGCTTAAATCATGGCCATAATAGGACTGAAATCAGTTCATCTAGATTTCCCCAAATCAGATAGAGTAAATACTGAGTATCTCACACAGAAGCATAATCATTGCACGAACGATTTCTATAAAAATTTTGTTTTATGTGTATTTTCAACAAGTAATTCTTTGAAGAGAAGGCAGACTGAAACCAGGCTGTCCAGAGATTTCTGCATCTCGGATGATATTTTTTAACTGTGTTTACACTATTCTCTGCTATCTCTACATACGCCTTTAGTTTTCTGCCATTTTCCCCTTCAGACTGCCTCCGCAGCGAGCTTTGGCAGTGATAACAGGCTGTTTAGCTTTAAAAATCAGATAGCAGGATGAAAAACTGTGGTGGATGGATGTTAACTTTTTGAGCCTGATTCTCACTGCTTCCTCACCATCTACCTTGACACTCAAAACCCAATCATCTGTGAAATCTCTATGTGAAATTTGATTGAATATGCATGCTGGGTTTAAAAATTACTCACGTGGGGAGGACACACACTTAGTGTGTCAGTGTGCCCAAAGCTTTGCATCAGCTTTGTTTCCTTTGGAAGTAAGGCTGAAAAAGCACTATCAGGGAAATTAGGAAACAGAGTCTATTGACCTGCCTTTTATGTTTGAGTGATTTCAAGTACACGTGCAGAAAAAGAACGAGGTTACTTCCTGTTAATTGCTATCAGAAATTACTGTATGATCTTTATAATCTTCTCAGAACTGAATGAAGGAAAATCAAAGATGACTAAAGCTAAAACCAGAGTTTTAGAAATGCCTAGGTGTCATGGAATGCTATCTTATGATTTGGGCAGCAAAATGTAAAGAAAAAAATCTTCTTATCAGATTAGTCAAAGTATTGATGATATGACTGGACTGATGAGCTAATTATTTAGATTATTATAGCATTATTTGCTTACTATAAAAAAGTGATCGTAAGATACTTTTTTTGCAAACACAATAATTTGATTTGCAGATGCAGAAAATCGGAAAAAGTTAAATGTGCAATACATATGCTTGAGATAGAGCATAATGAAGTCTGTGAAGTCAGGAAAAGTAGAACACATGATCAAAAAAAGAATAGATGCCATTTAAGATGCAGTATTCCTACAGAAATTGGCAAATCTTTATTAGTCTTGTATTAGTTCTCATTTTGCTTTGATTTTATTTAAGCTGTTAGTTAAAATGCGTTTAAAAACAGACTTTGTATTATTTAATTAGATTTCAGTGCTATTTAGAGAAAAAAAATGAACCAAGGATTCCAACCAGGGTGCTTGAAATAATGCATTTAAGTATTATGACACAACAGCTACTTCCTTTGGAATATGATTACTATTGGACTCAGAAAATTCTGGAGTAAGCTGGCGGAAGAATTTGTGACCATGAGAATCTGTGTTTACATAAACATAACCTGGAGGAGATGGATAATTTGCTGGACAGATCTCTTGTTTCTTTGGAGTATATTCTGTGCGATACATAGTTTCATCTTGAAAAGGAGCAGAATTAGGAACTATAGCATGTACAGGTTTGCAACTTTGAGCTGGAATGATCTGATGTGGTATATAATGAGATCTGAATGTAGTTAAATCATAAAATTTTCCCGTGGGTTTTGGAATTTCCTGTTGTTTCTTAGTAATCTCTTGCCAACAGCTGCCCCAAGCTTTAAAGTCTTCTTTTGTAGTCGTATTCCCTTGAAAAGGGACATTGGTTCTTCTTCCATTAGAAACTGGTCTTATGGGGACAGCAGGAGAAATCTCATGCTTAACATAATCAAGATGGCTTGTGGAGTTAAAATCCATGTTGCCTGGGGGTGGAACGTACTCTTTGGTTCTGCGGACCTCAGGCAAGGAGACCAACCATGGCTGAAAACGATCCTGGAATTCAGTGACTCCATTAAAATGAGCATTGGATCCAAGCTTTGTATTTTCAGGCTTGCAGCTTTTTGCAAGTTGACCAGGTAGCCCTTTAAAATCATTCCGGTGAGTTGTGAGATCTTCAAAGGGTTGGTTGCTTGGCTTGTACTCTTCTTTTGATCTTATGAATTTTGGTTCCAGTTGATGAGCAATATAAGAAGTGCGATGGCTAGTAGCACCATTGAAAGGCACATCTGAAAGCTTGGCTACACAAGGCGGTTTAAAACTTTGTCTGGGAACCAGTTCCCTAGGAACAAAGTCATCTTGAAACGTAGTAGAATTTCCAAACTTCTCTGTAGGTGGGTGGTATATATGCTCCACCTTACTAGGTTCCCTTCTTTGAACTTCCCATGACCTATAGTCATCTTTAAGGCAAAAACAAAACTTCACCATACAAGTGTTACTACTTAAGACCATTCTCTTAAAATTAAGCCAAATCGTTCTGGTATTAAAACTTACAAAACAAAGAAAATTGATATAAGTGAGAATGATAATGTTATCTGCCTGTTTGTGATATGACAAAACTCTTCTATTATTGGTGTGATAAAAACAGACAAAAACATTGTACATGATGCCCTATTTTGACTATTTCCTCAAGGAAAAAGAAAATGTTGCATGTACATATTTAGTGTATATTCTATACAGAAAATAGCCATATACAGGTTTTATATACAATATCTTACATTTTACTTAGAAGTTCACACAAATATACAAAACTGAAAGGAACCTTGTAGGTAAGTGGGTCATGTTCACTACTGATTGGGAGAATTCTCACTCTTAATTTCCATAGCAACATTACATCATCTTAAAGCTTGTTGGGTTGTTTTTTTCTTTCTATTTGCCTCTGTGTTTTTTTTACTAACAGACTGCTCTGCTATAGTTACAAAACTTACTGTCCTGTATAAACTTCTTCAGAGGCAGTTGAAATCAATTTGTTGTCTTGCAATCACTGTACTTCCTTCAGCTTCAGTGTTTTTTCACTCCTTGATACTTACTCCCTCTTGAACCACTAAGATACATTTTAAATGAAGCAGTTGCATGCTGTCTTAGTTGTATGCTGAGACATTATTCATTACTTGCTAACTTACTACTTACATGTAAGCTAAACCGAAATATTTAAATTTCCTTATCAATTATTTACAATTCATAAATATAAATAGAATATATTTACCTAAATCCATTTCTAAGCTTAAAGAAGCTACTGAAATATAACTGAGTTTCTTTGAAGAGCCTTTTTTCCCCAATTTTATCCTTCCAACTCTTTCTGTCACTGCATTCTCTCCTCTGCTTATTTTGCACCAAGCATTCTAAATTCCTGTTTCAACAGCCATATCTGATTCTCATTATTTCAACTACCTTTTTCATACCACTGGCCATCATAATCAGGAACATCTTGATTTCCATCACTCTAGTAGATCATATCTCACAATTTATTTCTACTTACTTTTAACTGGAGCTACAAGGCAATATATGTAACAAATTCAGTAACACATTTTATGTATAAAATTTTCTACTGGTATAAAGTGTTTCAAGGTCAGTTGCCAAAATGACTTAAAAGAAGATTTAGTGCCTTTGTGCTGACCATTGTAATAGAATAATTTGTGTCAAAACAGATCATTACTAGGATGATATGCATACTGTGTGGTACACAAAACAGAAATCTAAAACCAACTTTTACCTACTCTGTGGAAAAACATGTGTTACATGAGCTAAAACTATCTAAAAGATATACTGGCACTTTAATTACAACCAACTTTTTCCTGAGATAGGTTAACCAAGAGTATGTTGGAATGTCTCTCCTAGCCAAGAAAAAGTTAGAGAAGGCTTTTCGTTTAGAACCAATAAATGTCTTCTCTAAACAGTGGGAGTGCTGAACATCTTAAGGCATTACCACCTGCTTTCTATTATGTCTTACTCTCTCGCCCAAACAAGGAAATCCAGTTTCTAATATAGATAATTCAGAATGCTACCTTCATCTTGGTTATTTCTCTTTTTAAAGGTGGCATATATTATTACCTTGATAGGTTGGTATGGTATCCAATTTTCCTCCTGTAGTGTGTTTTCTCTCTAGAGGTCTTACTAATGTCACTGGTTGTATTTTATGAGCATTATAATCTTTCTGGTATGTGGTTCCCAGTTCTATCTCTCCCGTCTTTGGTTTATATTCTTCTTGTACCCGAAAAGGTCGCTTCACAGTATCATATGGTAAATAATCAGATCTGAATTGGGGAAAAAGGAAATACTGGTTAAAAAACTTATTTTTTTCTGATGGAGTCACTTTTGTCATTTTTCCATTATATATAAAAAAAATGACTTAAAATGATTACTCTGAAAAATCAATCTGCCGTAAGTTAGAGGGATAGCAAGGAGGAAGGAGAACCATAGTACATGAATCTAGGGTCTCTGATACATGATATAGCCTTTATTCAGAGGTAGATAGTGAAGCAACTTTTTCAACTCTCCAAGTCTCATTCCCAGTTTAATAATATTCTTTAAAATATCTGAAAGGAGACTAGAAAAAGTTTCTGTAATTTTACAAAAAGAAGATCCAGAAAGCAGAAGCAAAGATCAAACTACTATATGTGACAGCTTTTAATAATTGCATGAGGAGGATGGAATATAATCAGAAACAGCATTTCACTGTTTTTACATGGGCACATTACATTAAAAAGGTCTATAATACATATACAGGTGCTTAAACAGTATATGCAGTCCACAACCAATCTTGCAGAATGGCATTTGGCCTTTCTAATTATGTCACTTTTGTTTTTTTTATAAACAGATAAAGAAATTTCACCTGTTGCTCTTGTAGCTTAAAAGAGAAACAATAATAGAAAAAATAAGGGTTTATACTCCCATAAATTATTAATAAAGAATGTGTGATGTCATCTTCTAACTCTTGGAAAGATGCTCTTCGGTTTTGTAAGCTTAACATCAGTCTGTGCGCTGACAGGACAGACCCACTGAACCCCTATACTGTTGGCTTTCTTCAGGCTCCTAATAATTTCGAACTGTCTGAATAAAAAAAAAAATCCCCCTTCTTTTTTCTTAAAGTTTCATTTTCCCACTATCTTAGATTCCACACATGTATTACAGACAGTTCCCCAGCTTGCCAGCTTTCTCAGGCTTGATGAGGCCTAGATTTCCAAAACAGGCTGAAAACAAGAACAAAAATTTTAGTTATCTTTACAGGTTAAAGGATGCTGTAAAGAATGCAAATCTTGTATGCATGCTTCACTATTTTTTATGACCTTTTTGTGGTAAATGTATTTCTACACTCAAAATTTATACTTTTATATCTGCTAACAGTGTAAAAAATGCAATGATTGGATTTTGAAAATGATTTTAATACAGTGTTGCCCCCCTTAAAAGAGTAAGTACGAGAAATTTCATAGAGTAATTGTAAAACACATTGCTTCAAAATGTTTACTTAAATGTTGTAATTCCTTCCATTTTCCCACGATGCACTTGGTACTCTTGTTTCGGCTTAAGGCTCCAGGGAGGAGATATGTTGCTATACTTAGGATATTTTTCCACATACTCTGTTGTGAGACATGGCTGTTGTCCATTATCATAAATCCTTGTGGGTTTATGAGGGCAGCGATGGCGCCTGGGTAAAACACATCAGATGAGATCATTTTGAATAATTTCATTTAAAGGGAAAACCCGTACCCTATCTACTGGGACTGAATAACAAATAGGGAAGATTGAACAATATCAGTAGCTTGTGTTTAAAATCTTTTCTGAGTGATAAAATTACAAAAGATTGACACAGGTCCCAGAGCACAGTATACTAATACAGTGATAAACAGTATCAGCATGCGAGTTAGTCCTTAGTACAGAATACAAAGGATGGATAGAGTTCATCTCAGTCCTCTAAATGATGCTACCACCAAGATGCACTTTCCTCTCTTTTAAAATCCTTAATGATATCACTGGTCTTTGTTGTAAAAATAAGTAACCATGCTTAATTTCTTCTTTCGTATTGCCTATTTTTTATTATTTTCCCTCATCACTTGTCTTTTTATTTCTGTGCATCTGTTCACCTATTTCCACCACAACTCTCAATTAACTCTTCCTGATTAAAATTTTAGTGGTGGGAAATCTCATCTGCACTTCTAGTGCTCTGCAGGCCATTTCTGAATTTTCAACCCTTTTTTTTTCAAGGACTGACTAAATCCTCTATCCAAAGACATGTTTGTTTAGAAGTAATGACACCTCTTTTTCTTAATAGGTTTTATTTCAATTACACTGGCTTGTCATTGATGCCTATTTTAATGATACCATTGTGTAAAAAGGTGTTGAGGTATACTATGACAATTTATTACTTATACCTTGTTGTTTTGCGCAGTCTACATGAAATGAAAACGTACACCTTATTTTTTATATTGCTTTGAAAATCTTGCTATATTCTAATTTGCATAATGCACTTACATCTCTCTGGTAGTTTGTTTCAAGTATAGTTTTAAAATTGTATTTTGGCTGATGTGATTATTCTTTCATCTCTCCTTTAAGGAGATTTATAATAAAAGATGTTCCTCCTACTTGTGGCTGACAACTTGCAATACTAGTTCAGATATAAGCAAAGGGAAATAACAAGAAATATGTTTTTAAATAAATAAGTCTTGTAAAATTCTGTAGGTGAAAAGCAAAAATAACTAAAGAACAACAAGACTAAAAGTGTACAGCTCTTACTGGGTACAAATAAATTCAAGTTTCAGGAAGCTAGATACCCAAGGAATAGTTCAAAGGTCTGCAGAGAAATTTAGCTAGCACCAAATACAAACAAGGGGAAAAAAAAAAAAAAAAAGCAAGGTAAAATAGAATACAGAAAAAGACATGAAGGACTCCTGCTGGGAAAAGTAAAATGAAAAAAACACTGAACAAAGTTATCTGGAACTGGAGATCCCTAAAGCTGGTATTAGTTTGGGCTGTCTGACTTTGCCAGCTCAGTAATTCAATAAATGAGAAATGAAGTAGCCCTGTCTAAGAAGTCAGATCCTTTCAAAGCCTGAGGTGCTTACTCCTTTTCAATCAAGTCAACGGAGAGTCAAGTAACAACTGAGACCTATTCAGAACATAGCAGGGAAAGGAAAAAGGAATAAGAGGGAACAGGAAAGGTAGGCAAAAAAGGAGGTGAGTGTATGCTATTTCTCAGTATGGTGCTTACCTGCTACTATATTTTTCATGAAATTCAGCTACTAGCTTAGTAGTATTTTTTTCAGTAGGTATAAACAGCATATGCTGTGTCATGTAGCATCTAAAAGTAACAGCTATGCAGAAACTAAAACCATTGAATATATGTTTTGAAAGCTGGTGGAAATATAGGGTATCAAATTATATAATGTTATTCACATACTTTAGGCATACAATTCAAAGGAGTTTGAAACAAACAATATTCATCTACAAAAACTTAATTTGGACAGTCTTCAGTTTGCCATAAGCTGGTCCAGAAGGCCAATAACCAAATAAAATACCTTCCCTGTTCTGGCATCACAAGTCTTTGAAGACTTAACTTGCAATATTTTCTAAGCAATATTGTCAGTATATCCCCCATGTTGCTGAATGGCCATGTTACAAACAGAAACAGATACTAGGAAGATAGTTATTTTCAGAGTGAGCCTGTAGTTCTTGGTAGATTCAACACAGAGGTGAAAGTAATCTAGTGTATCTCTCCAAGGGAAGAAGTTTTTGTAATTGAATTAGAATACATTGTTGAATCAAAAATGGCCTTGATCCCAGTCATTTCTAGCATACAAAATAATTCTGAACAGTCCCTACCTATGCCCAAAATTTACTTGGATTCAGATAACAATGTTCAGGAAGATCCTACATCCTACTCCTTCCTGTGGAAGAACTTTCAGTGGGCCTAAAAGGCAATGTAGAATTATCTTAATCTCAGTGTGAATTTGACATGGAGAAGAGATTGAGGGGTTTTTTGGTTAGCTGATAAATCTACTTTTGGATGTTGTCCAACTGCTAAACCAAAAGTTTTTATTTAGAGAATAACTTTATAAAACTGATTACATAGGGCATCAAAGCTCTTGAGAGAGACAATGCTAAAAATCATCAGAGAAAACAGATTACAGCTGTGATAAATTAAATATGTTTCTTACAATTTGGCCAGAACTCCTTGAGTCACTGATTATTTTAAACGTGTTACTTGTAGCTGTCTTACATTCAACCCCAGAGTTATAATAACTCAAATTAATTTGGCGAGGACATGCCTTCCCCTATGACTGACTGATGCCTGCTTTGTTGGATTATTATTCTTTCCCTTCTTTGAAGGAGACTATCTATCTTGTGGCTTGCGTAAGGTCTGAACAGAATCTCAGCTAAATAAAACTGACAGTATATGGGCTCTGTAGTGCCAAATGCTGTTGCACTGATTATTTTAACAGAATGACACTGAATTTCACTTATTTTGGTTCTGGCATATGTACAGTTGTTTTTTATACAATGCTATCAAGACCCTTGAAATTTTCCCGCAAAGCATTCGCCTCCCAGAGAACTAGACTAACAATGAGAAAAGTTTAGTGTTTATCGTGATAAAAAAGCTTATTTAAAAAAAATCCCCACACCTCAAATTTTTCATTTTTTAACTACAAGTGCACATGCTATGGTCTGAAAGACAGAAATTATGTATGGACACTGTATTTTTGAGAGTCATCTACTTTCCCAGTGTTGACAGGAGACCTGGTGGTTTTTATTGGGTTTGTGTGTATTTACGTGTGGTCAGTACGAAGGCTTAAATATCCCATATTTTAGAGAACTCTTCCTCTTTCCTTTTAACTTAAATTTATTCAGGAATCTAGATTTTTATGATAATGATAACAGAAGTGCAATAAAATAGGGAAAGGCTGCCAGATTGAGAAGAAGATAAAGCAGTAGTTTATTTTTATATCTCAAAACTAAACTTCTATGCTTTTGTTTGCTGCAATCATCTTTTATAGTAGACAAATGCTACTCTTGAGTGCAGAGAGTTCATCTACCTCAGAGGTATTATTCTTCCTTTGGAAGCCAGATTTAACATCCTGTATTTGCTGTTAGACATTTCTATTGAGCCAGTGATCTGAAGCCTGACTGTACTTGCTAGCAGGGTGTAAATTTTCTTTTGTATTAACATATTTAGAACCTATGGGAAATAAGAAAATACAAAAATTTTATTCTCTTTATGGTTCCAATCCCAAGTAATACTAGCTCATACTTTCTCCACATTAAAAATATACCACTTTTAAAATAAGAAATGGATCTGGAACATCTTAGGAAACAACATAGAATCCTGCCATTACTCTGCACAATGCAGTTTTGACAACGCTTTTGTGGTTTATTAAAAAAACATCCAACCAAACTTATATCTCTACCACAGCAGCTAGAAAATTAACATTCTACTGCCTTAGCAGCATCTTTTGTTACTGTAAAGTCTTAAGCTCAAAAGGCTAGAAATTATGTCAGTTATTAAAAATGGAGAAGTCTTCAGCTTTGGACCTATTCTGCAAACTGATCTTTGAGCATGCTTAGCACTGGTACACTTCCAGGGGTGGTTTTTGGCATTACAATTATTTGTTGATTTTGAAAAATATCACCGAATAGGCACAGAAGGTGATTCAATCTAATAAGAAGGAATCTATTCAAATTATTCTTAAAAATCTTGTAACAATTATTTGTTTAAGAGCCCAAGATTGCAACCCCTAAGTGAACACTAGCACTCAGATGCTTTTAATGAGCCATTAATGAGTGGATTGTGTATGCTACAATGCAAAAAATGTAATTCTGGAATTTTGGAGGCTCTTCTCAATTCTGTGTAAAGAGAAAGGAGAATAAACTTCTGTCTTACTGCCTTTCCTTCCCTGCGTTCGTAAAATTTTTCCAACTGTCTTTTCTTCTGTGAACAGGTAGGAAAGATGGTTTCCTTCTATTTTACTATTTACAGTAATTATACCTCAAAAAATATAACAGTATTTATAAATATTTTATAAATTTATATTGTTTGAAAAAAAAATGTTTACTCTTAAAAAAATATTTTATAACAGTAATTATATCTCCACATTTCCTGCAAATAGCTAAATTTTAACTTCTACAAAATACTAGATCTTTCACTTCACTTTGAAATCTCTTTTAAGATGGGTATGTGTTGCAATATCCAGGTAACACTGCCAAGCAACCAGTCTTCCCCTAAAAACAGAAACACTGTACACTGAAGCAAACACAATGCGTTGCCTAAACCAATAATGGCTTAAGATTTTATTGACTGTAAAAATGTCAGTGATGTTTATTTTAAACCATAAACTTTGTTCATGTTTTACTCAATTATTCATATAATTAAACTGGGTTTTTGAATTGCGAATTTTCAGTTGAGCTGAACCTTTTTTTGCCTTGTCAGATTGTGTTATCTCACCATCTTTGTACTTGAGCCTGAGCCAGGTTTGTTATCTCATCATGAAAACAATGTGTTCCAACTCTTCATTAATCTAGGCCATTTGAAACAAATTTATGGGGCAAACTACACCCACAGTTTCGGCCAAAAAGAACATGAGAAGCTTTACACACTGCCCATCTCTCATGTCTGCCTACAGATTCAAAAAAGGTGACTGATGAACAGAAACAGATTTCCCATACAGAAACACATAAGGTGCATGTCTGCTATAAACCTTGAAATGAAGCCTACAGTTCACGGTGCACTTTGCAGACATAGGTTGGCCCTGTACTTCCAAAAGATAGCGATCACACTCTTGTGATCTTATGATGACTCCCCTTGTATGTAGTTGCTAGATTTTTTTTTTTTTTTAATATTAAAGACAGAATCTTTGAATCCTAGGATGATTATTTTTCATTTTTTTTTTTAAGTAGACAGAGAAGAAATTGAAAACATTAACAGCACTGACTCCAAACCTATAAACATATCTGAATTTTGCAAGGTTTAAATCCCTTGATTTTGGGAAACCTGACATGATTTTTTTTTAGTGATGGCATTGATAATATTGCTTATAGACCTGTAATAGTAATTTTAAACCAAAAAATGGCCTGCTCTACCCTCTCACACAGCCTCCCTTGGCCAAAGACACTATAGTACAATGTTGAACTGTGTGTCTCCATATGGGAATATTCTATGTAAAGAAATAGTGGGGCTTCCCTTCAAAGTGAAATTACTCAATGTGAGGTTAGAAAGGCAGATATATTAAATCTATTTTAAAGGCCATAGTGATTGCATAGGTTTCTGTCAACGGTGGTTTAGCCAGGACTCTTCTGCGGGTTCCTTTGGTGCAGCCCTTTGTAAGATGGCTCTGCTTTATGGAAAAGCCCGATCCTGAGGTTTAGTCTAGGTGGCTTTGAAAGACTGTCTCCATTCTTTTCTACTTTAATGAATTTTAAATCTGCTTCTTCCCCTACCTGGTTTAAATATAAGCGTATTACTTCATATTTACTGAGACGATCCGTTTTAGAAAAAAAGCCAGAAACGGGTGAAATGGGAACGTTACCCAGTATTCTGCCTTCCCGCTCCTAAAAAATTTAGCCACGACCAGGCAGCGGAGTCCCCGCGCAGAGCGGGATGGGTGAGGAGGGGGACATGGCGAGGGGTGTTTTTGTGGGGGTGGTACAGGGAGGGCCCGGAGTGCTGCGGGGGAGCCGCCGCCATCTTCCTGGGGATTAGGGGGGACGGGACACCCCCCACCCCATCTCCCGGGGACCCGAACTCCCCCCCGCCCCGCTCCCCGCAGACAGCGGCGACCCGCGGGGCCGCTTACCCGCAGGTACAGATCTCGCACAGGCACCGCGGCCCCTTCATGCCGCCCGCCACCGGCACTACAGAAGCGCTCCGTCGCGCGGCAACGGCGGCGTGCCCGCGGGGAGCGGCCTCCGCTGGCTTCCGTCCGCCGTCACGCAGCGGGCGGGGGATCGGGCGCGGGCTTCCGGGGGCGGGCGGGCGCGGCGCCGGGAGGGAGCCGAGGTGGGGTGCTCCCCTCCCCCTCCCCGTGAGGGGCTGCTTGGCGCGGGGGGTGAGGGGGGGGAGGCATGCGGGACCGGTTTCGCGCGGTCGGGGCGGCCTGCCCGCCCCGCTTCACCCCCTCAGCCCCGGCCCCGAGCACACCCCCAGCGGCGTTGCGGCGGGCCCCGGCGCGGAGAGGTGGAGGGAGGCCCGCGGGACCCTCCCGCGACACCGGTCCGTGGGCCGGCTGCGCGCAGCGGGGCCGCTGGGGGGGGAGCGGGGCGGCCCGTGGCGGCCCCGTGGGAGCGCGGCGGGGGTGGCGGGTCTAGGGCGGGGGTGAGCCGAGGCGCCTCTGTGTGCGTACGTAACGAAAAACTGATCCGAAAGCCTAACCTCGTGATGCCGGTAAAAATAAAAACGTGCCGCGTGTTCTGTAAGTTTCTGGTACGCGAGGTGCGGTGCGGATGGTGTCTGGGGAACGCGACGCGCTCCACGTGTCGGAGGTTTCTCTGATGCGTAGCTCTAACCATAACTGAGGTGATTCCAAAAAAAAAAAAAACCAAAACCCAAACCGGCCTGTTTTTTAAGTTGCTTCTTAAATAAAATAGTTTTCTCCGTTCACAGAATTAGGTAATCATGGTCCTCACAAGCGTGGGAAAGATGGTTGGTCTCCAGAAGAAGACTTCTGGAATCAGGAATATCTGTATATTAGCCCACGTGGATCATGGTAAGAGAGGTGTTTGTGACTGGCAAAAACCTTGTGAGGAAAACGTGGGTGTGTTAGTTTGAATGGTGGTGAGATATTTTGGTCGCTGTTTTAAAGCAGTAGGTTTTCACAGATTTAGCTTTAAACGGTCTTAATCCCGATTCTGAGAAGTAAAATTACTTTATGTCTATTTCCTTTGTCCTGGTGGAGCTTATCTTTTAGAATTTATGAGAGCGTTACACTGTAATAATGTGGAAGAGTTGAAACAGAATGTTTTCGGCTTCTGTGATGCTGAATGCTGGCGTGAATTACGTATATGCGTGTGTGAGGGAGGCTGTTGTATTTCTATGTTTACTTAATGAAAAAAGTTTATGTAGGTGGAAATTGTCAATACTGCTTTTACAACACCCATCTTTTGTCTAATTGCACAATATATTGAGGTTCTGGTGTACTGCTTGTTATTTCAACTGCTTTTCTGGTCATGACAGGTAAGGTTTCATCCAATCTTTAAAAATAAATTTGTGTGCACCTAACAGGTGAAGTTGAATAATTGGATTTTTTTTTTTTTTTAAGTTAGCTTGTACTTTCTTGGCATTTTAAAGCCTTTATTAATGTTGATATCTGATAACTAGATGTCAGCATTCATAATATTGTTGCATCTTTTTCCATTGTCTGTATTAAGTTAAACTAAGTAATTTATTTTTCTTTTCAGGCAAAACTACTCTAGCTGATTGTCTAATATCAAGCAATGGAATAATCTCTAGCCGCCTGGCAGGAAAGGTAGAGTTACACTGTTATTTTATAACAAAATTCTGGTGTATATGTGCTGGGATTGTAAATCAGGGATGACTAAGGAAATTCTATTCCTAGTCTTGCTAAACCTCATTTTCTTGCAGTCATTCTCTTTGACGTTTGTTAAGTAACTAGTGAAGGAATTTCTACAGATTTATTGCCTCTTCTTTTGTTCTTGTACTCAGTTGAGATATCTAGACAGTAGAGAAGATGAACAAATCCGAGGAATAACAATGAAATCTAGTGCAATTTCATTGCACTTTGTGAAAGGTAAGTTGTTGATGCTGGCAAGTACAAACTTTAATATGGTCTGGTTTTGTTTTTTTTTTTTATTTTCCCCGTCAGCTCATTGTTGCTGTTGAGATCTGTTTGTATGCAACTTTTACTTTTGTATTTTGCAGTGTTAGGCCATGATTCTGCAAAGACTTAGGCACGTATTCAGCTGTTAACCAAGACAATCAAGTTCCATTTTCAATCCTATCTCTGAGTGGAGGCAATTAGAATAGTTGCTTTTATCTTTTTATTTTGGTTCTAAATCTTTATATTTTGATCTTGAAATATTGTCATTGAAAGGCAAGATTATCTTTCAAAAAAACAAATTTTAAAATGGTTCTATACAGTCGTTACTATACTTCTGTGTCAAGGTGCTTGTTATACTCTGCTACAAATTGCTCAGAGGGTTTTTTATAGTGTAGTTACAGTCTTGCCTTTGTTACGACTCCATGTTCCTCACCAGTATTATCCTCACCTATGGGAATGAAAAAACATAAAATACACTACGAAACAGGCTTGTGTGGAAAAAAGAATAACAGAAAAATTGCATGAACAGAAAAGCCACTATTAGACTTAACATTTCAGCTACACCTGATTATAAAAAATAGTTGAAATGAATGATCTTACAGTGAAGTATTGTGAACCGTGGCTGGTTTATTGTTGACTCTTGAGATGACCTTTACTTAAAATGGTTAGAATCTTTATGTCTTGTTTTTCTGTTGTATTGAAATTTAGACGCTTAATACAACTCATTAAACAGGAAAATGGTTTGATCTTATTTTGATTGACTGATGATAAATGCAGTGAGTTCATCAAAAGTTGGCTGGAGTCTCCTCTAAGCAGAGTTTTTTGGGGCAGTAATGTAGAAAAAATAGAGAGCTTCTCCTGTATTCATATATTAAATATATTTTAGAAATATGGAGTCAAAATTATGTTTTTTAAAAAATCACAAGGTTGAAATGAGGCATTTTATCAGGAATGTAGGGTTTATTTTTATGATAGTCTGTGATGATTTATGTCTAAGATATAAACTGTAATGCAGTTGATTTGTGTTTTAGCTAGTGATCTATCTGTAATGCTACTACAAGCTTGTTCAGGGCTAGGATTTTTTTTTTTGTTTGTTTGGTTGGTGTGTTTTTGGTTTTAATTTTCCAAAGGTAGTTGGGTATTGAAAGATAAAGATTGGCATTAAGAATGAAACTAAAACAAATTAGGCACAAGCCGGTAGATGTTACGTTGCTGACAGCCTTCCTGTCCTATCAGAGTTATTCTTAAGCATAATGGTTACTGCAGATTTGGTCCTTAGAAATTAATAATATTTTGAGCAATATAACAGTGGCTGAAAGAAATATTTTTGAAAACTGTTCTGAAATATTAATTTATTGTTTGATTCTAGGTGATCAGGAGTATCTGATTAATTTAATAGACTCCCCAGGGCACGTGGATTTCTCTTCAGAAGTATCTACTGCTGTCCGACTCTGTGATGGTTGCATCATAGTGGTGGATGCTGTTGAAGGAGTCTGTCCACAGGTGAAATAAAGTGTATTAAATAGGGAAATAGGATAGAGAAGACAAAGTAAGAAAAGTTTTAAGTATATTATATAGAAATAAAAGATGAGGTGGCTTAAGAAGTTTTGTAAAACCTACAATAATTGACAATGTACTTGAGGTATGAAAGAGGGTAGTTATTTTCGTAGTTATGCTGAAAAATTGAGCAACGCAGGTGAGTGGGTGTAGTGGTGTAGGGTTGAAACACTGAGTATGCAATTTTTCAGGTAATAGAATATTGGTATAGAGAATAAATGTTTTAAGGGAATAATATCTTTGCATGTGCTTTTTAGGGTATTGAAAGTGAAAACATATGGAAAATAACATTAAGTTGGCTTTTTTTTCATGGTTTACTTTTATAAAGAATGGTTATGTTGTGGGCATTTTTGCCATGAAATTCTGCCATCCTGCAGAAATCTGTAATAACTAACGCTATGTGCTATGGGAGTCAGATTTCTGGTTTGAATGTCAACCTGCCCCTTATTATATGTTTAATTAAATTTTAGAATTATATTGTAACTTTCTTTAACATTCTATCTCTTTTTGCAGTAACAAGCTTTCTGTAACGGATTTTTTTTTAACTATTTCCTTCTTAATAGACTCAAGCAGTTCTACGGCAAGCATGGCTAGAAAATATACGTCCAGTATTGGTGATTAATAAAATTGATCGCTTGATTGTGGAGCTCAAGCTCACCCCTCAGGAAGCATACTTGCACCTTAAGAATATTTTAGAACAGGTATTCATGCTATGGTATCATGTTCACACAGCAGATTTTGTTGAGGTTTTTCTTTCCCACCTTTTCTCTGTTCTTGAATTGATGGAGACTGTAATTTTCACTCCCTTATAGCTGAAATAAATTTAATGCAGCAGAACTAGCACTTTCTTACTTTTCAGGATTAAGCACTATAACATCTAGTCTAATTTTTAACATTGAGATACATTTTATTTCTTGGTTTTGAGGTTCACTCAGAATGCCTCTTATAGAGAAAAGAGTATTAAATGCCTCTTGGTAGGTCATCAGGAAGAGTCTTCATTTTTAGAAATATGCTGAGTATTTTGATCTTCCTGTTAAGTTGCTTAAACTGCTTTGGAGGTAGTACAAATAATATCTTTAGACTGCTCCTGTTATTCATGGGTTTATGCAGCGTTAAGATTAATTCATCTTTTGAGTTGTAAGTTAAGTTGCCTTCAAACCTTTTTTTTTTTTTTGAGCTTACTTTTACGCACTTGCCTTCGTGGTTTCCCTTTGCCCTCTGTTGTTTGTTGGCAGTAACAAGTTCCTATTTCAACACTCCTTGTTCTGAGAGACAGTGTATTACACGTGATACTCTGTCTGAATCAGTCCTGACGTGGCTGATTTTGCCTTGGAAAGTACATGGTATTTAAGTTGAAATGTTAGTCTCATCAAACTCCTGTTGCCTTCAAATAGGCAGGATTAGAGACATAAGGTTTGTGTTTCAAGTTGCAGAATGATCTACAGGCATGCCATCATGTTAAAAATACCTTTTTTTATATTTTAGAATGTGAGGGGAATTGCATTTTAATTGCAAGCATTGTGAAAGTGAATTAATCTTAGGGTGCTTTTACATATCCTTCTGCAGATCAATGCAGTCACCG